CCGCCCCCCCCCCCCCCGGCTCCCAGAGCACTGGGGCTGGCTGCGGGGGCGAGGGGCAGAGGGGCTAGCTGACTCCTCCCCCCAAGGCTATCCTGACTCCGCTCCCCGATGGGAGCTTGGGAGCTGGACAAAAGGGCCTATTGGCCCAGACATGGCCCTCGGGCTGTAGTTTGCCACCCTGTGCTCAACTCCTAGGTGCTTTCCAGCATCAAAAGTGCTTCCCAAGCAACCCCTAGCTCATCGCTTCTCCCCGTCCGCCCCCCCGTGGGAGGTACCACAGACCCTAGCCAAAGAGAGCCAGGCAGAGAAGGGTGAAGGGACATGCCAAAGGTCGCAGAGTCAGTCGGTGTCAGAACCTGGCTTAGAACCCCAGCCCTGTGCTGAGCCCCTAGAGAATCGTCTCTCTCCTCCTTCCTGCTGTGGGACAAATCCCGCTCCTAGCGGGAGGGCCCGCCTCCGCTCTCCTGCCGTCTTTTCTAAGCCCGGGGAGCCCACGTGTGATGGGGAAGCGTGGTCTAGTGCTTATGTCACCGGGCTGGGAACCAGGACACCTGACTTCTCTTCCTGGCCGTGCCACTGACGTGGTGTGTGACCTAATGCAAGTCATGTCACGGCGCTGTGCCTCGGTTTCCCATAATGATATTTCTCTGCGCCCTGGGGTCAAATGGGAGGCATTTTGTATAGGCCAGGGGAGCCCGTAGCTCAGTGGTCACCAGGCAGTAGAGCAGGATCTACAAGTAGATCTCTGAGCCTCTGCCAGGTGACCCTGACTGGTTTGACTAGGAGGGTGCCGGTACTTCAACCGCCCTGCCTCAGAGCTGCCTCCTGCCTGCTGTGCAGAGTGGGGGAGACCGAGGCAGAGGGGTGTTGGGGGGAGGGCCAAGTGAGGCAGCGGTGGGGCCTTGGCAAAGGAACAGGGCAGAGGTGTTTGGGTCGGAGGTAGCTCCTGGACTGACAACTTCAAAGAGCGACCGTGTGCTTAAGCAGGTTGGAGACCCTGCCTGGGATGGGACTCAGGGAGCGAGGGGAGATGCGACTCCTGAGCCCCCCATCTCTCTGCCCTGGGCCCCTCCACCCCAGCCCTGACTCCTGAGCCCCCCATCTCTCTGCCCTGGGCCCCTCCACCCCAGCCCTGACTCCTGAGCCCCCCATCTCTCTGCCCTGGGCCCCTCCACCCCAGCCCTGACTCCTGAGCCCCCCATCTCTCTGCCCTGGGCCCCTCCACCCCAGCCCTGACTCCTGAGCCCCCCATCTCTCTGCCCTGGGCCCCTCCACCCCAGCCCTGACTCCTGAGCCCCCCATCTCTCTGCCCTGGGCCCCTCCACCCCAGCCCTGACTCCTGAGCCCCCCATTTCTCTGGCCTGGGCCCCTGTGCACCAAATGCAACTGTTCTCTATTCCGGAGGTACCGTGATGGCCACCCTAGCTCTGCCGGGCATCAGTGGGGTAAAACAAGAGAAGGATCCGCAACAGGAGGACACCAGCTCGCCCAGTCCGTGGGGCTGTGGGGGGCTGTGGGAGCAGGCCACGTCTGCACGGCCCCGTTCCTGCCCGCGGCTCTCCCGGCAGCCAGCCGCACGTACCATTTGAAAGCCACGTAGGCCAGCAGACCCACCACCACGGCGGCCAGGATGGAGCAGTACACGGGGATGATGTTCTTGCTGTTGTCCGGCAGCGGCGGGGCGGGCGCGGGGGGGTGGGTGCTCGGCCAGCGAGGGCTTCCTGGGGTAATCCTTGCGGGGGTCTCCCTCGGTGCGCTTCAGGATCTGCAGCTCTCTCTCTGCAAGCAAACACCACCGGCAACGTGAGGGGACGCAAAGAGAACCGGGCTCGCCCCGGCTTCCATTCTGAGGGCCTAGTGTGAGCCAGCAGCTCCCCCAAGTCAGCCGCCGAGACTGGTCCCCAGTGTGCCTCAGTTTCCCCATTTGGGGGGCAAATTTCCATCAAAACACTTTTTTCACCTGAAAATGCCCCCTTTTTTTGGCACAACAGAAATACATTTTTCAGGCAAAATTTCCATTTCACTGAAGCTCTCCAAGTTTGCCTTAAAACCCCCTCAAGATTGAGGATTTTTTTTTTTGCAATCACCAGCCCCCAAAAGCTAACTTTTGTGAGGTTTAACCTGAGAATGGTTTAATTTTGGGGGTGTCCGAAACCAGCACGTCGGGGGGAGGGTTTCTGACAAACACACAAACATTTTTGACGAACAACAATGTTTTTGTCAAAACTTTTTGTTGCTGGCTCGGGGGGGAGAGGGGGGGTGGGTGATGAAGGAACTCCGGACTCTGGTCTACGCTTGGGCTTTATTCCAAAATAACCCCCCTTAGGTCGAATGAATAAGCGGTAAGTCCTCACGACCAAGCCCGTTATTTCAAAATAATGAGCCCCATTTGAAATCTGCGCTCCTGCTTTCCTGGAGGAATAATCCTAATTTTGAAATCATTTCAGAATGGCGGTTGTGTGGTTGGCTGGTGCTATTTCGAAATGACGACTCTGCAGAGTCGTTCAAAGTAATTACTTCCCGAGGCTCTACGTCCGAGCTAGCGCAGCCAGAGTAACGGAGACGGCTTTGAACTCACTTCGAGTCGTGTGGTCGCACTAGTTCGATTGTGTTATTTCGGGAGTGATTAAGTCGAATCTAGTGATTTCGAAAGAGTTTCCTAGCGTAGACATGCCCTGAGAGAACAGCTGCCTCCCACATGGGTTTGGTGGGTTGATAGATGTTTACCAAGAGCTAGTATGTCATACCATCAACCTGTGGTTCTCAACTTGTGGTCCATGGGACTTTCTCGGTGGTCCATTGTCCACAGTCACACGGCGTGACTACCATCGAGAAATTTTGGGCCAACGGGGCCAGGAGTTACCCAAATCTGTCAGCGCACACAGTCAGATTTCCTTTTGCCATTTACATCAACATATCCGTGCGAGACTGGATTTTCGTGTTTGTGGCACGTTATGTCCAAACAGAGGGATCGCCTTGCTGTGGAAAGCGATATTCATTGTGCATTATCAAAGTACCACTCCAAACATTGAAAAGCTTGTCAGCGAGAAGACAAGCCAAAAATCTGTTAGGAAGAAATCAATTACAAACCAAAATGTTCGTGGTCTCCTCTTCTTGATCATGTCTCAAAAAGGAGGTGGTCCACGAAAATTCGTGGATTGGCCTGGTGGTCCGTGGACTGAAACGAGTTGAGAACCACTGCCCTAAGCAGGCGGCTAAAAATCATTCTTGTGGGGGTGCATCCAAGCCATTTCAGGGAGCCGGAGGGAAGCGCTGAGTGTCTGGCAGGAGGAAAAGTTGACTCGGTCTCTAGTGATTTTCATCCCAAAGGTTGCTGACAAAGGGTGCAACGCGCTCCGCGCTTCGGTGTAAATCGTGAGTCACTCTGTTAAGTTGGCGGCATTGAGCTTACATAAAACTGGTGGGAACGGACAACTGGGCCCTCTACAGGCCAGGCCTTGCTTTCCCCACCAGTGAAATGCAGCTGATTCTGGGGCAGAGCAGCATAGTGCCCTGCACTACACAGCAGTTTGGGACGGGATGATGAAAACACCAGTTACTCCCCGCGACGCTGCAGGGGGTTTAATGCAGGATGCAACGCCCCACGCTGGGGCTTGGCCTGGTCCCAGAAGAGCTCTGTGTCACTCGAAAGCTAGTCTCTTTCACCAGCAGGAGAGGGGCCAATTAACGATATTACCTCCCCTGCCTTGTCTTGCTCATCTCCTGGGAATCCAGGGTTCCCTGTACGCTTGGGCGGCTGCCCAGGAGAGAATCAAATGCCACCCAAGCTCTTCAACCTGTGTTTCTACTAGTGGTGCACATCTGCACAGGCCTCGGTGCACAGAACAAAATTCATTCTGCACCCAGACGGAAAAAATGAAAGAGAGCATTGTCTGGGGTTGATACCGCTATCCCAACAGGGCCAACATGAAAATGGGAGGGGCAATTGAAACAGACAGGGCAGCGTCCTCCTCCCCATTTTGGTGCAGGGAAACTGAGGCAAGGAGCAATTCAGTGATTTGCTCAAGACCATGCAGGGAGGGATAGCCGGGCAGCGCAGGCAACTGAACACAGCTCTCTCCTGCCTGGGCTACAAAACCTGCCTCCTTCTTGCTAAAACTTCCTCCACCCGTATGGGAGGGGCAATTGAAACAGACAGGGCAGCGTCCTCCTCCCCATTTTGGTGCAGGGAAACTGAGGCAAGGAGCAATTCAGTGATTTGCTCAAGACCATGCAGGGAGGGATAGCCGGGCAGCGCAGGCAACTGAACACAGCTCTCTCCTGCCTGGGCTACAAAACCTGCCTCCTTCTTGCTAAAACTTCCTCCACCCGTTACCGTGGGGGGGTAGCTGGCCCATTGACCCACCCCGGCAGTGTGGGAGGGGAGCCACGCTGCCCCGAGCGCCTTCTCCCGATGCGGTGGAAGCCGAAAGAGGTTGAAACACGGCTGAATTCTCCACACG